GGTTCTCTAGGAGGACGATTAACTCTTGAGCCCACGTCGTGAGTGCCTTGTCGTCAGAAAAGTCGTACACAAATTCCTTCTCGTCCTGCACCATCTTCAGCCCGCGTCCACCAGCAGATTGATTCACTGCCTGTACACTCACCGTCTGCAGAACCAGTTTCCGCTGTTCCCTCTCCATCCTGCACTTCCCCAGAACCTTCTCGCCCTTTACGGGGAGTTTATTGCCGGAGCGCATGGCGAAGATGAATGACTGCTTGGCCTCAGGTTTCTTCGACCATTTGTCAATATCTTCTAGGACAATGCACAAGACGCGTGGTACGCTGGTCAGGAGCAACGCGCACGAGCGTGGTTGCTTGGAAAGGCCACGACGTATTGGCGTCCGGACAGACGCGACTCTACGGACGGTCTCGCCCGAAGCCAGGAAGCTAGACCTGCGAGCAGGCCGGATGTCACATATAACCGGTTAGAGCCAAGAGGACTGACGTGTGCTTGCCACCTACCAGTCCTTCTCCATGAGTATCGAATCGGCCACGTGTCCAAGATCACCGCGGGCGGGATCGCCGTCGTTGACAGCAGCGACAGCCCGAGCGTGCCCGTCGACGGTATACTTAGCGGCCGCATTGCCTTCGCCGTCAGCAACCCCATCATGCTCCGACCTTCGTGCATTCCCCACCGCAACAGTCTCGACGACCTCCGTCGGTACCGCACCAGGAGGCACGTCCACCGGCCCAGCAGTAGGCATCAGCAGATCGCTCGGGGAGAAGGGTCCCCCGTTCACGTTTGCATTTGCGCGTGCGGACTTCACATCCACGAGGCTAAACTCGTGCACGACGTTGTCCCACAGGCTGTCGTCCTCGGCCTCCGGGATCACGGCGGTAGGGGCAGGCCCAATAATCCCAGTTTCTGGAGGTACCGGTGGATCGGTCCAGAGGGTATCCCAGCGCACTGGTGTGCCGTCGGACTCTTCTGGAGTCGTGGAGTATGCGAGGCCCGTGAACAGTGGGTGACCGCGTAGTTCGGACGGGGACGACTTGGGCTCGACCCCCAGACGGTCGGATGGGTCGAGCACCTGGTGGGGGGTCAGCGACGAGCAGCAGGTGGTTAACATTGGTAACGCCGTACCACTAGTTTCTGCACAAAGTCTTTGGCAATGTCGTAGAACCCTTCAGGAAATGTGTAGTCGAGCGCCTCGATCTTGCGGAAGCTCTGGTAATCGTTGATCGCTGCGAAGGCTGGGGTGCCGGCGATCATGAAGTACGTGGAGCAGCCGATGGCCCATATATCGGAACTAGCGGGAGACCGGTCCAGGTAAATGCCCCGTAAAATAAGACATTGGCTTACCTGCTGCTAGTCGTCTTCGAGGCTCGGTTGAGGAGCTCGGGCGAGACGTATGCTGCGCTCCCGACGAATGTACTGGCCCGAGGTGCTTGGAGACACGAGGATGTGAGATGGCCAGCCTTGGACGAATACGGAGGCCCTACTCACAAAGGTCGCCGTCAGGCGATACATATACTGAACCGAAGTCCGTCAGCTTGATCCGCAGTTCGCTATCCAGCAGCATGTTCTCTGGCTTCAAGTCCCTGTGCACCATGCCCATCCTGTGCACCCACAGTACGGCGTCGACGATCTGCGCCGTATACCACCGTGCGCACCGTAGAGAGAGCGAGCCGTGTTTCTTTACTAGATCAGCCAAGTCGCCATGGGGAGCGAGGTCTAGTACGAAGTCTTCAACGCATGTGGTCAAGCAAGTCATTGGCATGAGTGGTGACCAAACCTACAGAGAGAGGTATCATCCTGGAAAGCAGCGTGCATCCTCACGATCCCAGGGTGTGTCCCTGACAACTTCACCAAAGCGTCCTTTTCTGCCGTCGCGTACTTGACCTTCTTCAGCTTGATTAGCTGCGCCTTGCTCAGGATTTTGACAGCGTATGGTTTGCCCGTCGCAACATGGGTGGCCTCCATAACCTGAACACTCACTCAGAAAAACCGTCTGAAGGCAGACAAACATTGACGGCTCACTGTCGACCATGATCCGCTTCCCAGCTCCTTCTTGAACGTGAACTGCGACGGGTGAGTCATCTTAGATGGCTTGGATGTTACTCCTTGGAGAGCAGAACCATTGGCCGCGATCACTGGAGCGGTGCCTGAAGGGGTCTGGCGTCCTAGGTCGTCCTTGGAATCGTCCCGGATCTCAGCCAAAGCCCATGCAGGCGGCTTACTTCTGTTCACATGGCGTGAGCTACGACGGGGTGAAGAGTCGCCCATGGCGGTGAGGCGAGGCCACAAGATCACTGTGGGTCGTGTTCAAGGTGCAGGATGGCCGGTCACTCTGCGTCGGATCGCGGTCGTGCGTCAGCGCTCCTATCTGACTGCCAGAGTAGGGTTGGGGCCAATCATTGCAATGTACGAGTCGTCTTGCGTCGTCAAGCCCGCGGCTTGCACCCATGATGATGCATGCTCGTCGTCGAGGTAGTGTTGCCGCCAAGCCAGCTAAGCTAAGCTAAGCTG